CTTCAACCCAGGATGCAGAGGTTGCAGTGAGCCGAGATCTCACCACTGCACTCCAGCCTGGGTGACAGAGCAAGACTCTGTCTCAAAAGAAAAAAAAAAAGGTCAGTTTCATTTTCCATTGCCCCTAAGGTGCTTTCCAAGTTTTCCTAACCTTGAATATGACGGTGCAGGATCTGAGGGGCTGGGGCAGTAAGTACTTTCTCATGTAGTTCTGGTGAGTCAGTGTTAACATTATATTTATAGTTTACGGGGTTTTGATTACTGTCTGGAAGTACAGAGGAGGAAGACAAACTAGTTTGCAAAACAAAATCAATAAAATAAAAATAGCTCCATGTAGAAGACTTCCTCTGGATGTCACTGGATTTGTGCTTTATAAAGGTCTTTCTCTGGTTGAGAGGATAGAAGAGGAGTGTCTAAATATACCGGAGGAGAGCTATGGAAACAGAGGATGAGACAGGAGAATCGGCTAAAACAACCCCACAAGTATCTCATTTGCATGCACTGCCATGGAAGATGCTTTTGTTCCAAGTATGTAGAATTTTTTTCTCCAAGTAGATATGAATTAGAGAGCATTTTTTCAGTGTCTGGGAGGCAAATGAGGAAAGAGGGTGAACTGCGCATTTTTGTTTTCATTTTGTCTGAGGCACACAGGGATGATCGCTAAGAGTTACCAGTGGGTTTGCCCAAACGTGAGAGCTTTTGGATAGCGGTGTTATCGGGCTGCTATTCACTATTCAGGTGGTTCACAACTTCTCCACCTTTTTGGGTTGTAGAACTTCTGTAAGAAGTCAAATTAAATATCTCCTCCCCTTGGGAGCTTTCCCTGACTTTCTTCCTGTCTCATTGTCTTTTTTTTAAGCTCCGCAGTGGTTTATACGTACATCCTTTGTGGTGTTTATTATGGTGATTATTTTTTTTTGGTTACTAACGCTGTGTCCTCTTCTTGCAGACAGTGCTGTGTGTCGCTCTTTATACACCCAGGATCTAGCAGGGCACCTGGCCCATAGGCTCTCAATAAATCATGGTGAATGGATGGAAGACGGAATGGATCCTAACTTCATTCTCTCCTGAATTCTTTCTACACCAATTCCATCAGATGTCCCAGAGGTTAAGGAATCAAAGCCTTAGATGACCAGGGTTAGGAAATTATACAGGAACAGGACTAACAGGAGAACAAGACACGCTCCAAACTCCCCCCAGTCTAAGGCAAGGGAATGATTTCTCTACAGAAGCCAGACTTTCCCTAAAAGTGTTTAACCTTCCTCAGCTTCCTCATCTGCAAAGTTCGGATAATAATAAAACCTCCTTTATAGGATGGCTGTGAAATTAAATGGGATTATTCCCATGACACAGTCAGCATCATGCCTGGGCACTTAGTAAGTACTCAGTAAATCTGAGATATTATTATTAATCGCTCTAGAACTAAGATCTGTGTAAAACACAAATGATAGCTTTTTTATAAATATCGATTTTCTTTTCTTTCTTTAATCCTTCAACTTTCTTTTATCCTTATAGCTTTAAAAAGCATTTTTTTAAAAAGCATGCAAATAACATCATGGCGGAGCTCAATGCCTCCTGTTCCAGGCAGCCTTCCCTGCTTGCCACCCAATTTTGTAAAATTGGCCTTTCTTTTTTGCCCCAACATTGTCTGTGCCATAACAGCACTTATTAACTAACAACCACTGTAACGTTTCCCACTCTAAACTCAATCTGTGCAAATAGATGCCACGTTGACTATATCCTCTGTAGTTTTCTGGAATGTGAAGCTTTGTTTCTCCTGCTTTGGCTCCTCCTGTGATCTAGAAGCAGGGCTTAGTGTTCAGGGAGGAGGCTGCATATGGCCAGGAAGACCCTGGCCAGGGGTTAAGAAACCCACATTCCAGCCAGATGAGGATTGGACTCTTCTATCTCTGTGAAACAGGGGTAATGATGTCTCTTTTCCTAAGTCAGGTGGCAGAGAGGTTTAAATGAAATAAACCTAATTTATGCATTTGTGAATTAAACACAATTAAAGTATACTATTCTCGATAGATATTGGAGACTCGGAAGAGTGGGCATGGCGGGAGGCAGGTGAGGGAAGAGAAATCACCTAATGGGTACAGTGTACATTAGTATTCAGATACATTCGAAGCCTAGACTTCACTACACAATATATTTGTGTAACAAAACTTCACTTGTACCTTACACACTTATGCCAAAAAAAGTCGATTATTCTCATTGCTTCTGTTAAATGGAAAATGACATCAGCGGGCTGACTCTTCCAAGTGTCAATATGCTTCGTGCCTGTGGATTTCTCCTGCTCAGTTTTGGGTGTTGAATTGATTTTTAGGATTTAATTCCACCTTGGTTTGAAGACACCCACCAGGCTTCTGGGATTCTGGTGGCACCCTTTGTGGGAAGTCCCTTCCAAAGCTGTAGCTGACGCCTGAGGGGCCCTCAGCTCCCACCCTTCTGTTGTCATTTCCGTCTTTGGCTGAAATGACTCCTTATTTTCAAAACCACAAGAAAAGTGAAAAGACCTACTATTCCCCAGACCCCTGCTTTATGTGAAAGATTAGAGCTTAATCTCGGCCAGGCACAGTGGCTCATGTCTGTAATCCCAGCACTTTGGGCTGACATCAGGGGTGTGAGACCAGCCTGGCCAACATGCCAAAACCCCATCTCTACTAAAAATACAAAAATTAGCTGGGTGTAGTGGCACGTTCCTGTAATCCCAGCTACTCGGAAGGCTGAGGCAGAAGAATCACTTGAACCCAGGAAGTAGTGGCTGTAGCGAGCCAAGATCGAACTACTGCACTCCAGCCTGGGCAACAGAGTGAGACTCCAACTCAAAAAAAAAAAAAAAGAGCAGTGAGGGAAGGAGGCATTGGGAAGTAAAGGTTTATGTGTTTGTTCGATTTTTATTAACTTCTAAGCCTGTTTTCACCTTAAGAGGAAAATATGGGTTCTTTTCTCCCCTGCAAGCTCGATATAGGATTTCTTCTTGGCCTTTATCAACTGAAAATACTTCCTAATTCTATGACCTATGAATTGCAAAAGTGGGTAAGTCACTGAGGAATGAGATGGGTGGATAGCAAGATATGTTTATTTAAATGGTATTTTAATATATACATTTCAAACTTATTTTCTCCTGGATTTTTTTTTTTTTTTTTTTTTTTTTTTTGAGGAGTCTCACTCTGTTGCCCAGACTGGAGTGCAGTGGTGTGATCTCGGTTCACTGCAACCTCTGCCTCCCGGGTTCAAACGATTCTCCTGCCTCAGCCTCCTGAGTAGCTAGAACTACAGGCGAGCGCGCCACCACACCCTGCTAATTTTTGTATTTTTAGTAGAGACGGGGTTTCACCATGTTGGTCAGGATGGTCTCGAACTCCTGACCTCATGATCTGCCTGCCTCGGCCTCCCAAAGTGCTGGGATTACAGGCATGAGCCACCATGCCCGGCCTGTTTTCTCCTGGATATTTTTATTTGCAAGTAAAACAATATGCAGACCCGTTTCACAACTTGTTCCTATATCTATGACTGGAGAACCAGATGAGTAGAAAGCACTGAAAATCATCATAATTCTCTAACTCTGACTAAAGTTGTTGGGTGGGAGAAATTTGATGACATGAAATGAAGCTGAGGGAAGCTCCTTGCTGTTTCTTGTATCCATTGCTCCAAGCATTAGCAAAAATATCCCACCAGGAATATTTTAAACCTATGGGGCAAATTAGGCAATATCTGGACATTCATTGAAAATACTTAGGTCGGGTACAGTGGCTCACACCTGTAATCCCAGCACTTTGGGAGGCCGAGGTAGGTGAATCACCTGAGGTCAGGAGTTCAAGACCAGCCTGGCCAACATCGTGAAACCCCATTTCTACCAAAAATACAAAAGTTAGCCTGTGTGGTGGCAGGCGCCTGTGATCCCAGCTACTCGGAAGGCTGGGACACAAGAATCGCTTGAACCTGGGAGATGGAGGTTGCAGCGAGGCAAGATCATGCCACTACCCTCCAGCCTGGCAACAGAAAGAGACTGCGTCTCAGATAAATAAGCAAATAAATATAAGAGCAAATTAAATTTTTAAAAAACCACCAGCAAAATAAAAACACAAAATAAGCAATTAAACCCAATTTCGTTCTTTCTTTCTTTTTTAAAATATAAACTTGCTCTGTTGCCCAGGCTGGAATGCAGTGGTGAGATCGTGGCTCACTGTAGCCTTCACCTGCTAGGTTCAAGCGATTCTCCTGCCTCAGTCTCCTGTGTAGCTGGGATAAACCAAACTTCTTTCCCACTGTGAAGTGTCAATATTTTCTCTTTGTAGATAACATATGTGAAACTGGGATTCGAATGGTAATTATTTACTGACAATCCTAGAACAAACTCCTCTGGACACACTCCCCTGGGTTTAGGAAATAAGCTGTAGCCAAGTGAAAAGCAATTATCTAAGAAGAAAGCTGAAAATGATTCAAAATGCATTTTCAGCGATGTCAGGAAAACCTGTATTCATTGTTTTGGGCTTCACTCTGCTCTGAAATTAACAATGGGCAGCCCCATTATTCCCTCATTTAGGGCTCAGTTCTTCCTCGGAAGCAACAAGAGGTTTCAGAGGTAGATTCCACCCATGGAGGACTAGAGGAGGTGAGGGAGGATGTAGCCCTGATTTTCCTACCCAGCTGCAGTTCCCTACCTGCGGGGAAGTGGTGCATCGTGGAGGCTCTTTGTTCTTTTCTTCGAGTGGTCCCAGGGCCCATCCCCAGGCCTTATAGCAGGAGAGTCCCCTCCCCGGCCCCATGACCAGCTCTACTGCCAGGAGCAACCACGCACAACAGTGTGTACCCAGGAGCTTCCAGGACCAGCTCCCCAACATGACGGAAAATAAAACCCACAGACCCTCACCACACATCTCCCTGAGGAACATGCTATGCCCCCTTAAATCATTGTTTTTCAGATGGGAGCCTTTCTAAACAAAAAATAAGTGACTGGGTTGGCAGACACAATCACTTGGATTGCAAGTTACCTGTTTGAGCCACACATTGGTCGTCATCAGCTGATTCTTTTCATCCTAAGAAAATGACAATTTGAAAAGTACTGTAAATTGAAGTGAAAGCAAGTTGTGGTTTTGTTGTTGTTTTAGAAATGGAGTCTCAAGATGCTGCCCAGGCTGGAGTGTCGTGATGCCACCTTAGCTCACTGCAGCCTCACGCTCCGGGGCTCAAATGATCCTCCCACCCCAACCCCCAAGGAGCTGGGACTATAGGTACATGCCACCACACCCAGATGTTTTTTGTTTGTTTTTTGATCAGAAAAATCTGAGTCTTAACTCTGAGGTGTTAGAAGTCCAAAATATTCTCAATTTCTTTTTTATTTTATTTTTTGAGACAGAGTCTCGCTCTGTCGCCCAGGCTGGAGTGCAGTGGCACAATCTCGGCTCACTGCAACCTCCACTTCCCGGGTTCAAGTGATTCTCCTGCCTCAACCTCCTGAGTAAGCTGGGATTACAGATGCGCACCACCATGCCCAGCTAATTTTTTTGTATTTTTAGTAGACACGGGGTTTCACCATACTGGCCAGTCTGGTCTCAAACTCCTCACCTCAGGTGATCTACCTGCTTTGGCCTCCCAAAGTTCTGGGATTACAAGCATGAGCCACTGCACCTGACCTAAGATTCTCAATTTAAAACAGTCAAATGACATGTAAACAGTCAAATAACATGTAGATTTTGCTTAAAATGAAAAAGAACGAAAACAAGTAGCAGTTAATTGCATAACCTAGAAGGCACTTTAAAGGTGCAAAGTAGGCCAGGCACAGTGGCTCACACTTGTAGTTTGGGAGGCCAAAGCTGGTGGATCACCTGAGGTCAAGAGTTTGAGACCAGCCTGACCAACAAAGCAAAACCCTGTCTCTCCTAAAAACACAAAAAATAGCTAGACATGATGGCGTACGCTTGTAATCCCAGCTACCCAGGAAGCTGAGGCAGGAGGATCACTGGGAACCCAGGAGGTGGAGGTTGCAGTGAGCTGAGATCACACTGCTGCACTTCAGCCTTGGTGAAAGAGCAAGTCTCTGTCTCAAAAAAATAAAAATAAAAAACGCCAGGAGCGGTGGCTCATGCCTATAATCCCAGCACTTTGGGAGGTCAAGGTGGGAGGATCACCTGAGGTCAGGATTTCGAGACCAGCTTGGCCTACATGGTGAAACCCTGTCTCTACTAAAAACACAAAAAAATTAGCTGGGTGTGGTGATGTGCGCCTGTAGTCTCAGCTACTCAAGAGGCTGAGGCAGGAGAATCGCTTGAACCTGGGAGACAGAGGTTGCAGTGAGCTGAGATCGTGCTACTGCACTCCAGACTGGCAACAGAGTGAGACTCTGTCTCAAAAAATAAAATAAAATAAAATAAAATAAGAGGTAAATAGTAGCTAAATTAGAGATGGACTTTGCATGACTTTCTAGAAGGAATCCTGGGGTATGGAGCCAGCCAGGGCAGGTGAGTGTGCGCACATGTGTGTAGTGGGGCAGGGAATATGGGCAACATGGGAGGATTCTTCTGGGGCTTTGGGGACCGTAGCAGGACAATTTTGTTACTTTAAGGAGTTGAAGTTCACTGATTTCTTCTAAGAGCATAATCATGGCAGAAATGCAAGCTCAAAAGGAAAATCAGAATGCAAAGCCATGGGTGAGCTCAGGAGAGGTGACGGAGCCGCCTAGGAAGAGCAAGAACAGGCCTTGCTCTGGGCACTGTTCTCACCACCCCGTCTCCCTGCAGACACCTCTGCCAGCCCAGGGTACAGCCAGGGAGGGTCGGTGATCACAGCACATCAGCCCCGGGCTCAGCCCCTCTTGTCTGCAGTTCCCAGTGCTCCTCCCTGGGTGTTCAGCAGCCCGGCCAGGGGCAATGACTATCTTAGCAACCACATCCTCCCCCTGGCAAAAAGATCCCACGCTAACAGTGCTGCAATGAAAATTTACCCCATGACAACTTCTTGTTCTTTCCTCGGGGTCATTTCAGTGGCTTCTTGGGGGCAGATTTTCTCTCACAGTAAATTATTTTTAAAATGGAAATGTCAGACATAGGGAATAAAAAATATTTTAGACTCACAAACAGGTTAAGGAATGCATGTTCTTTTTAGCCACATGCCAAGGATTACTCACCACATCTACGAGCTGGGTTATTTTCAATCCAAAATATACTTTTATGGTGTCATTAGAATGTAATACAGGCCGGACCCATTTTTGATAACCTTGGAACAAATGTCTGAGGAGGGCATCTTCATTTTCGGCGATTGAACTGAACCCTGTAGTGGCTGTAAAAGAATTGTGGGAGACCTGGGTTAGTGGGAGGGGTGTGATGCCTGGATGAGTGTCCCGTGGCATCCCATGGCATCCCGTGGCATCCTGTGGCCCTGGCCTCCTGCACCGTAGGCTGTGTCTGTTTCTAAACAGCCCATTTCCTGAAAGGCAGCTTGGAGTATACAAGGGTCCCACCTCCCTCCAAACACGCACAGCTGAACACAGAATCCACATTTTACACAGAGCTGCACTCTCTCACAAGACTTTTCCTATCACAGGGTCAATACGCGGGCCCCAAAAGCTCCATCTGCAGCCACCCGACCCTCACCTTTGGTGCCATCTGTAATGCCCCTTCTTCGCAGACATTAGCGCTGCCCACAAGCTGTTCTCTGTCCCCGAGGCTTGTTTCCCTCCAGCACCTGCCTTTGGAAGTCTTTTGTCTATTTGTCATGCCTGTCTCCCTCTGGAGCTCCCTCACAACGGGCGCAGTGGCCGTTGTATTTGACCGTGTTTACCTAACACCTAGAACAGTGCCCGGCCGAGAGTGGGTGTTGGTTTCATGTGTGTTAACAGATGTTAGAGTTGGCACGTGGTCACTGAACACCAAGTGTGTGCCCCTCACGGTCCTCTTCGTCTTCTTCCCAAGGAAGTCTTCCCTTACAAAGTCCTTCCTTGGTCAGCAGCCAGGTTGTCACACTCTGCCCAGTGCCTGACTGTGTGAGAGCCTCAGAAACGCCCGGTGTTAAGCTTTAACCTTTCAGTTGGGGAAATGGCTTAGGAATGCAGTCCCAAGAGAAAGTTTTATTTCCTTACACTGCAGTGCTGTCACATGTAAAACAAGGAAGCCCCTCCTTTTTTTTTTTTTTTTTTTTTTTTTTTGTTTGAGAAGGAGTCTCCCTCTGTCACCCAGGCTGTAGTCAATGACACATCTTGGCTCACTGCAACCTCCGCTTCCTGGGGTCAAGCGATTCTCCTGCCTCAGCCTCCTAAGAAACTAGGACTACAGGCACGTGCCACCATGCCTGGCTAATTTTTGTATTTTTAGTAGAGATAGGGTTTCACCATATTGGCCACGCTGGTCTCGAACTCCTGACCTCGTGATCCACCCACCTCGGCCTCCCAGAGTGCTGGGATGAGCCGCTGCACCTAGCCGGAAGCCCCCTCCTTTTTTAAAAAAAAAGATGGGGTATCACTGTGTTGCCCAGGCTGGAATGCAGTGGCCATTCACAGGTGCAGTCCTGTTACTGATTAGCAGAGGAGTTTTAACCTGCCCCTCCTTGTATATTCAGCACGAGATTAATGCAACCCATTCTGCACCATGTCCTGACCATAGAAACCCTTTTTCTTCCCACTGAGAGACCCACAGTTTGGGTAATGATCTCATGAGAGACATGCTCCCAGGTTTGCCCAATCAAAATCCTGGGATTCTCATTAGGAGAAAAGCAAAACAGTGCACCTTCCCCTGTGTGCAGGAGGCTTCCGTATATACTTTCCTAAGAGAGGAGCAATTCCAGGTGCCTTGTTCCAGCTCTACAGAGTGGACAGAGGCATGGGGGAGGTGGGCTGTGTGCTCTGAGGGTGCTGGGCCTCATTTCCTTTCACTTAAAATGAGTAATAGGGAGAGATGCAACCTTACATTTGTGCTTATTTTTTTAAAAAAACTGTGGGCCAGGGATCGTGGCTCACACCTGTAATCTCAGCACTTTGGGAGGCTGAGGTGGGAGGATTGTTTGAGCCCAGAATCCGAGAGAAGCCTAGGCAACATAGGGAGACCCTGTCTTTTTTTTTTTTTTTTTGAGATGGAGTCTTGCTCTGTTGCCCAGGCTGGAGTGCAGTGAAGCTATCTTGGCTCACTGCAACCTATGCCTCCCTGGTTCAAGTGATTCTCTTGCCTCAGACTCCCAAGTAGCTGGGATTACAGGCACACACCACCATATCCAGCTAATTTTTGTATTTTTAATAGAGATGGGGGTCTCACTATGTTGGCCAGTATGGTCTTGATCTTTTGACCTTGTGATCCGCCTGCTTCAGCCTCCCAAAGTGCTGGGATTACAGGTGTGAGCCACCGCACCTGGCGACCCTGTCTGACAAAAATTTTAAAAAGTAGCCAGGCTTAGTGGCTGAGTCCTGGAAGTCAACATGGCAGTGAATGGTGATTGCACCACCCAACTCCAGACTGGGTGACAGAGCAAGACCCTGTCTCAAAAAAACTTTTTTTCTTTTCTTTTTTTTTTTTAAGACAGGTTTTCACCATGTTGGTCAGGCTGGTCTTGAACTCCCGACCTCAGGTGATCCGCCCGCGTCAGCCTCCTAAAGTGCTGAGATTACAGCTGAGATTACGGGCGTGAGCCACTACTCCCGACCAAAAAAATTTTTAAGAAAGAAAAATAAACAAAAATGGATCTGTTGATTACTATTAGTACCAAGAGCAGCCCTGGGAGCAGCCAGCTGGGCAGCCGCCAGGGCATCCATCTATAAAGATCTGGGAAACCTTCCTGGAAATGCACAGGGAGAGAATGGAGAGAAAACCCCACAGCCTCTAGGGGGCGAGGTGGGCATTTGCTCAGGGGGACGTTCCTGAAGTCATCCTTGACTCGTCTCTTTTTCTTCCAACACACGTCGGGTCTTAACATCCTTCAGCCTGCATCCCAGTCCTGCTCGTTCCCCACCGTCTCCACCGGGGCCACGCTGAGAACACAGATGCTCTCTCTGGGACTCCTGCACTGCTTCCTAATTGTTTCCACTTTTGACCTTTCCACAGTCCATTCCCCACACAGCAGCTAGAGAGGATGATGTCAGTTTCCTGCTAAGCCCTCCAGATGGTTGCCCATTATACTCAGAAAGAAACATCCGGAGTCCCACCACAGTCTCCCCGGCCCCATGTGGCCCTGACTGTGCACCCCCCACCCTGCTGCCCACGCCCTCCTCCCCAGCCCTCGAGCCAGTCTGCAATTCCCAGAAGAAGCCAGAATGCATCTGCATGGGGAAAGCTCTCTTTTCACCCTTACCCCGAGAGCACACAGCCATCCCTTCACTTGTCCAGTCTTTGCTCAAACACCACTTCCTTGAGAAAGTCATTTCAGGTTACACTGTTTAAAAATTCCTCCCTGCCCATCCTCTCAGGGTACTTTATCTTCCAGTGATATGAACTAATCATATCACATCTGTTTATTATTGTCTGCCCTTCCTAGATGATGCCAGCTCCAGGAAGTTGGGGATTGTCTTCCTCACTGCTGTATTCCTGGCTCCTAGAACGGTGACTGTCACTCAGCAGCTGCTGAGCTAATGGCTGCTGAGTAGACAAACACTCAAGCAACGATGCAGTCAGCTTCATGGCCTTTGTTTTGCTGAGGGGCATCTGAAGAGTTGGGACCAGGGGTGAACTGCTCAAGAGAAGAGGGAAGCCATGAGGACACAGCTGTCCCCTTCCAGTCACCCCCAGGGCAGGCAACCCCCTCCTCTAAAGCAGAAAATATGGTTTGAAAGGCACTTGTCTTCACCTGTTTTGTGCTGCTGTAACAGAACACCACACCCTGGGGAATTTATCATGAACAGAAATCTATTGGCTCATGGATCTAGAGACGGAGAAGTCCAAGATCGAGTAACTGGCATCTGGTGGGGGCCTTCTTGCTGGATCAGACATGATGGAAGAGCAAAAAGGGGTGAGAGAGACGAGGTGGCCAACCCCTTCTGTGATAATGGCATGAATCCATTCACGAGGGTGGTGCTCCCGTGACCCAAACACCTGCGATTAGGCCCCCCCTCCCGACACTACGGTGTTGTGGGTCCAACTTCCAGCACACGAACTTTGGGGAACACATTCAAACCGCAGCAGCACTGTGGCAGATACTGCAGTTCCCTGCCCAACAGCCATTTCCCCCTTTTCCTTGGCAACAGATGCTAAATTTATTCAGGGTTGCCTGGTGCCAGCTCACGAAGCTCAGTCCGGGCTCCCTTGCAGCTGGGAATGGCCTATGAAACATGTAGCCATTTAAGTGCAATTAGAAGCTATTGGGATTTGGTGTTTACAGGAAAGGTTGTTAAAAAGGATGGACTTGATCTCACATGTCGGGCTCCTTCTTTTTGCCTGGAACTGGAGAGTTGGCCACTCACGTGTCTTGCAAACTTGCTGAAAGCTACACACGTAGGAGGGCAGAATGGAAAGACACACAGAACCTGGGTTTCTGATAGCCCTGTACTATCGGCCTCCAAATTTCTTGGTATGTGAGAAAAGCGGTCTCCTATTTGGTTAAGCCACTGTAGCCACTGACAGAGATCTGAAGCCAGCCCTGACGGCTGCTTGCATCACCTGACTAGCTGCTGAGATGCTGGAGTGCTGCAGTTCCTGCCGGGTCCCTGAGTCCCGGCTCAGCCAAATTAGCACAAATTACTGAAGACACCGTCTCACAATGCATGAAGGCACTCCAGGAAGGCAGAGGACAACTGAATGATGCCTGAACCAACACACCTGCATGTGTGTGCACACACAAACACACACACACACACACACACACCCCTATTAGCTCAGACAATGCTGAGCTGAGGAGTTTTGGACACATAAGAGAGGGTTCCCAAAGAAGAGTGGGGACTGTGACCACGAACTTCCTTTCCCAACAGGAAAATTGTCCAGTCGTTCTGAAAGGAGGTGGAGTTGCATGTTGAAAGGGGAAATCTAAAATTCTGAACTGACATGCTTAGCATTTGCACTCTGGCAGCTGTACCCCTGCGAAAATTCGGGAATCCTGCTCTTCACCAAGATCCAGAGGCAGTGAGAAGCTGTGCTCTTTCAGGCACAGCATATATCTCCGCCTGTGTTACCACCGTCAGAAGATGCACCTTCCGTCTGAGTTAACAAAAAACATGAACTGTACTGGCTGGTAGGGACTGAATGTTTACATCCCTCGAAAATCAAATGTTGACACCCTAACCCCCAGTGTGACTGTATTTAAAGACAAAGCCTCTGAGGAGGAGGCACAGAGGACAAACCATGTGAGGACACAGCAAGAAGGCAGCC